TGTGAAATATAATATATATATATATATATATATATATATATATATATATATATATAATGCAAATTGTTTTACATGGTTTATGGCTTAAACTTTCCAAAATAAAGAAGTAGAAAGCCCCAGGGATGCTTGTATTTGCTAGCCATAAGAAGGTGGTTTAGAGGTATAGTTCTTGCTTTTGGTGTGAACATTTGCAGGTTAAAAAATCACTTGCCAAGCAATTTAATAATAATAATAATAATAATAATAATAATAAAGTGAATAGTGAATGAAATAAAAGTGAATAGTGAAAGTAAATAGTGAATAAAATAATTAAAGGTGCAGTTCACCCAAAAAATAAAAATCACCACCCTCAAGCCATCCTAGTTGTATTCGACTTGCTTCTTTCAGACAAATACAATAAGAGTTATATATATAAAAAATAGCCCTGGCTCTTCCTAGCTTTATAATGGCAGTGAATGATGGTCAAGATTTTGTAGCCCAAAATAGTGCATCCATCCATCATTAAAAGTGATTCACACAGCTCCGGGGGGTTAATAAAGGCCATCTGAAGCAAAGTGATTTGTTTGTTTAAGAATAATATCCGCATTTAAACTTTGTAAACCGCAATCTTTAGCTTACGTTAACTGTTGTATGCGCATTCACAAGAGAGTGGCATTCCAGCGGATGACATAGACGTAGTCATGTGCCAGTGAACCTAGCTGTGTTTTCAGTGAGACTTTTGTAAGATGTCTACAAAACCAGACCACCGTGTTACTGATGTAGAAGATGGAATCATTTGGTTGAATGGTCATGCGTCTGACCTCTTCTCTTCTCCATCATCAGATCCCTGTGATGACAGGAGCCTTCATGGACTCATCGCCTCACGATGACTACAGCACGGATCACTCTCTCTTCAACTCCTCTGCTAGCGTCCACGCCGCCGCTCTGGCAGCTCACAACCAACAGGAGGAGCAGCAGCCCATGTCCCGAGACGCCATCTGGCTGTGGATCGCCATCACCGCCACCATTGGGAACATCATAGTGGTGGGGGTCGTCTACGCCTTCACGTTCTGACCTCTGGAATGAAGCCAGCTGAACTTTGGAGACATATTCGGCTTTGAGTCCCCCAAATATAGGGTCCTGTGGCCCCTCATCAGACGAACAGTGTGTGCATTCTTTCAAGAAAAAAAGTACACTGTGTTAGTTGTTTATTTGATCTTTTTTTTTTACGCAGAATCGTATTTGGAAGCTCCAGAAATTATTTTTGATTCATTGTAATTTTCATGTTGAAAACTTTGTAACTAGATTGTTTAATGCTAAACAAGTGTAACATGAGGAAAAACCACAGATTTTTTGTTTTGTTTTGTTTTTTTCTGAGTGACTAATACTGCCAGACTTTTGCCAAACAATTTGTACATTTTTTGCTTTTAGTATGTAATAACAAATGCTGTTATTAAGCTTTAAATGTCTAGAGGGCAAACACTACTTTGAAAGTCATCCAACTACCTTTTTAAAGCAGTGATTAGAAAGCTGAAATGAATCCCAAACCTAATTTGGAAAAGTAACCATAAAATAATGTAAATAGAGGAAGTGCAGTATGTAAGTGCCCAGAACAGAAAACAAAACCCTTTTTTATTAAAGTATTTAACCTGGGTCAGAAACAGAGATAATAAGCGATAAAAGCACTTAAAATCGTCTTGATTCATGGGGCATTTATAAACATTGGTTGATTTTTTTCGCCCCAGGATGTCAGTTTGGAGACAATCTCTTCTCTTAATTCTTCACATGGTAAAACCACCACTTTAGTTGATGAAAGGTTCAGTTTAACATTTAAGAAATGCATCACAATGATTTTAATTAAAACCTGCATACTAGTAAATTATTTTATATTGATAAATCATTCCATCCCCTTAGTTAAGGATGACAGGTCCAGCTTGTATTTGGTAGAGGTCAAAGCTTTGCTTTTAATGAGCTCAGCATAAAAGGCAGGGTTGCTATGGCTACTGTTTCATGCTGTCTGGGAGAAAGTGGCTGTGGCTTCTTATCCCACCATCACACACCTGCGGAAATCTTTACTGCCCACTGGTGCAAAGCAACTGTCCAAACAAACATGCATATGACAAGATTTATTTCATTTTTCTAATGTATTTATTTACTTTTTGTGTGTGTGTGTGTGTGTGTTTTTGGAGTGTTTCAAAGCTTTGATCCACAAATGAAGCATATGACTGGACCAACAGTTTTACTTAAAATAAATTAATGAACTGCTCCAAGTTTGCTTATGCAGGTTAGCACCAGTCTGGCTAGGTGACCAACATGGTCTTTCTAGAGAAGCTAGTTGACTAGGTTAAGTCAAGTTCTCCCAAAAATGTAAATTTGCATGGAATTTATTCATCCTCAGGCCATGCAAGATGTAGATTAGTTTGTTTGTTCATCAAGACTTAGATTTAGAGAAAGTTAGCAGTATGCCACTTGCTGACCAATGGATCATCTGAAGTGAATGGGTGCCGTCAGAATGAGAGTCCAAACAGCTGATAAAAACATCACAATAATCCACCACACAACTCCAGTTCATCAATTAACATCACTGTTTGTAAGAAACAAATCGAAAATATATTTTTAACTTCAAATGGCTGCTCATGGCTAAATATGAGTCCTCTATTCATAATATTGATTTCTCCAGTGAAAAAGTCATATTGTCTGAATCAGGAGAGAAATATGTACAGATCAAGCAAGTGAAAACGGTCCAAAACCATTTTAAACAAATATATCGGTAGATTCTGATGTGAGAGGACAACAGGGAATTTACTTTCTCCGGAGGAAGCATTATTATAGATTATGGATTTTTTTTTTCTTTAGCCAGAAGCAACAGATTTTTGTTCAGTTTTAAATTTAAAACATTCATTTGGATTTGTTTCTTACAGCTATGCAACTTTTCACTTCACAAGACATTAACTGATGAACTGGAGTCGTGTGGATTACTTGTGGATTATTGTGATGTTTTTATCAGCTGTTTGGACTCTCATTCTGACGGCACCCATTCACTGCAGAGGATCCATTGGTGAGCAAGTGATGTAATGCTAAATTTCTCCAAATCTGTTCAGATGAAGAAACAAACTCATCTACATCCTAGATGGCCTGCGTGTAAATAATTTTTTAGCAAATTTTCATTTTTGGGTGAACTATTCCTTTAAGCGCCAATCACAATGCACTCTGTCAGCTGGCCAATCAGAGCAGACTGCGCTTGTCGGAAGGAGGGACTTTGTAGAAAACGAAGCGTTTGAGAGAGGCAGGGCATAGAGGACCTACAATAATGTACAGTATTTGAAAAATAATGTGTTTTTTGAACATTAAAGCATGTCAACATATTCTGTTACACCAAATACACAAAATAATGATCTTTAAAAAAGCATCATATGACCCCTTTAAGCAGATTGATGAGAACACCGGCTTCCCACCAGTTGTTACTGCTGGTCTTTTTCCACACATACACCTTTTTTTTCGGTACTGTTTTAATTCCAATCATGCAACTGCCAAACATGTTTAGATGTACTTAAAGGTGTATGACCAATAAAACAAACAAAAAAGAAAGTTTATAAGTTATTTCATACCAATTGAATTTTACAAACCAGTCCCAAACCAGTTAAGTATTTTCACTATAAAACTTAAGAGACAGTTACTAATTGAGTCGTTATCGACCGGACAGTTTTCAGACTGTCACGGTCACTGTATTGATCTGATCAATGGACTTTGGACCTTATTTATAAGGCTGACCAAAATGAAACGGTTTTAGCTACAGTTCAACGGGATGAAATGGACTGGGACCAAGCCAAGATGATCATCTATCATCTTCTCTTCAGTGAATTGCACTAGGAAATGGAGTTAAATATATGCTGAACAGGAAAATGGCCTTCACTTTATCAATGACTTTGATTTATGGACTGGAAGGTCTCACGTCGGTATGTAAAAATACTTCACAGATAAACTCTAACTGCCACAATGAAGTTTGATGAATAGCTGATTGTTAATTATGGAGTATAATACACTCTAATTGGAAAGACTGTTGAAATGTCCTTCAAAGTCCCTTTTGCTGGTACCATTGCAGGTCCTAATAGAGGAACATTAGACCAGCTCAAACTAAAAACTTAATTTAGAAGTGTGCTGTGAAGAATTTTCTGCTCTGCAAACAATGTAGATATTAAGATTCTTAGTAAAAGTCCTGTCTGTTGATGTTGAGAGGTCTTTATATAGAGGCCTGATATCTAGTTTAGCAAATGAACACTGGTGCGTTCAGCTCAAGTCTGCTTCACCTGCACTGCGACATGTTTCTTTTTGTATTGGAAAACCACTGTTGAATTAAACGACTCATTGAACACCAGATCTGCTCTGCTTTTTTTTTTTTTCGTGGTGACACTGAACAAAGCAAAACCTTGATTTTCTTGTCACTATAGATAGCCTATACTGTACCACAAATCCTTTGCTTGGAGTTTTGAAAACCCTATATAAGCACCACTAAAACATTTTAGAGAATGTTAAATATTGTAAAAAGTAATGTTGCATACGAACAAGAACACATAGAAAATCAAGTTAATTAGTTTAGTGCATATACTGTATATGTCCAGTCTTGAGTATCTCCATAAAAGTCAACATTTCATTTCAAAATTTCATTGACAAATTCATAAAAAAAAAATCAGTTCTAAACATGTTAGCTTATTAGCCTATAGTATTTGAAAATATGTGAAACCCAAATTGAACAACTGTAAATTCTGATTTGTAAATCATTTGATATGTTTGTTCAGATAAAAGTTAAATGGCCCATTGAATAAAAAGTGATTGTCATTTGAAACTAAATTTCAGAATTTCAAAACTCCTATTTTAATCCAAAGCAGCATTTACTGAAAATAAGTTGCCAAAATGTCTCACCCTGAAATATAGTTGTGATGAATAGAATGATGAATAATATATTGACATGTGATTGCACGTGTTTACATTCAGTAATCAATTACTATTTTGGATTCAGCAACTTAATTCAGTCCGCACATAAACTGTAAAGAAAGGAGGAAGTGGAAATTCAATCACAGATTCTAAAATATAAGGATAACATAACGTTTTATATTTAAAGAATGATTTGGTGTACATCAGTCCATTTTACCTCTCGGCAACTTCTCCTACAAAATACTCCCAAGAGCCACAGGAGAAAAAAAAAATAATAATTTAGAGACACCGTGGTGGGTGTAGGGTTATCTTTACCTACCTTATTTTAGATGAAATCCATTCTCCATTTTTTCTTCAAAACTGTTATGTTAGTTTTCGGTCCATGTTCCCAGATAATGTGTAATTTGTCTAGTCAATTTCATTTGTGTAGCCGATGTGAGAGAATATGATTTTTGTGGAGTTTTACACACTGCTTTATTTGACAAAAAAAACATCGAAATTTACAGTTAGCCTATTTACTTTTTAATAACCTGATTAGTTAGGCATCAGTTGAATTTAGAAGATTTTCTGTTATCGATATCTGCCAGCAGTACATCGTTTGACAAACAATTTTGAATTTACAGCTTTTCTAACTCTTTAAATCGACCATATGCGAATCAAACAATGAGAACACGGAACAATGGCGTCGAATCACTATACGTGCATCCGAATCTCTCTGGCACTGCAGCAGATTGCAGAAAACAAATTAATAATTTGAGGACAACGGCATACATGTTTGCAACATTTTACTATGTTGATTTTTTTTTATTTTAGACCTCAAATGACAAGAACAGTTTTGTTAATGTTAATGAGTAAATCCCTGCACTCATTCACTCGAATAGCGTGAATATGCAGAACAACCACATGCCTTTGTTAAACAGTTAAGCATTGTGGTGTAAATGTTAAGAACTAGCTGCATTTCCTTCTCTGTGCCTGGATGACTACATCATTAAGGGAACCATGAATTCTGAGGTAAAGTTCTGGAAGAGTGGGCAAAAATCCCCCAAAACAGATGTCAGAGACTGATTAGTGGCTATGGGATATGTTTATACCACATTAGTGCCGCTAATGGAGGAAATCACAAGCTGCTTACTGATATGCATATTTTTGCACACATTATATCTGAATGTAAAAAAAATATATATTGTTGATATGACCGTGTTTTCAATCTGTTTTACTGGTATTAGGAGTTTGTGCCAAGCGCCATTAGAATA